AAGCTGGGGAAGGGATGGCACGGCCTCAACCCCCTGGGCTGCCTGCCCCACAGAGGAGGCAGAGGGGCACAAGCCACAGCGCAGGACCCCAGCCCCCGGGGGAGGGGATCTGGGGCCAGCCCAGGGAGGCAGCAGCAGCTCCGGGGGTGCTGGGCGTGTGCAGGGCAGAGCCCCGGGAGAGCCCCAGCCCCGCGGCGGGCAGCGCTGCAGGGGAGGAGCCTGCGCTCCCCGGCGGGCGAGGGGAGCCCCAGGCAGGGGGAGCCGGGCCGCTCGCGGCCGCTCCATGCTGCTCCCAGTATCGCTTTCAGCCGGCGCGGCTGCCCTGTCAGCGCTTTTGGATCTTTAAATAGCCGTCCGGGGGGAAATCCCGGACATTTTTAGCTTTTTACAAATTACCCCCGGACGGCTATTTAAAGACCCAAAAGCCGGACATGTCTGGGGAAACCCGGACGTATGGTAACCCTAAGCACCAGGCCTCGGAACGAGCATTTGTGTGTGTGTGGGTGGGGGGGTCTCAGCAGGGTGGGGGCGAGGGGAGAGCTCACCCTGGCAGGTGTTCTCACTCGCGTGCATGAAATTGGCTTTCCCAGAGCTGGGCTCGTAGCCATCGATGCAGGTGCACGAGTAATTCCCAGGCACATTGATGCAGTTTGCGTGGGGTCCGCAGTCTGCTGGGCTCAGGCCCTGACACTCGTCAATATCTGCAGCACAAGAGGGGATGTTCTGTACAGTCCTGGCAGGGAGACGTTCCTGTATCACCCACCTGCACTGAGCTGGGTGATGGGACCCAGGCGACTGGGACCCTGGGAACTTAAAAATCACAGGCCTGAGTCTCAGCTACACTCAGGCCACACTTGGCTGCTCTGGCAGCGGAACGGCCACTCGAGAATATGGTGTATTGAAAACTGTGTTAGCATCACAAGCTCTCACTTTACATCTGCAAGGGGCTTTCCTGGACCTGCTTGCGGGCGAGGGGGCTGCAGCGATTTAGCAGCTGGCAGCTTCCAGCGTCCCCCGGTGGAGACACCAGCATGTGGGTATCCCCTGCCAGGGGACTGGCATTGGTGCATGCACCAGCTTCACCAGCGCAAAGGGGTCTCCAAATCCACTGCACTGCGAGCCCAGAGAGACCTCTCGGCCTGTGCCCTGGGCAAACTCCCTGCCCTGGGGAGCAACGCGGAGCTGGCCAGCCCGGGTGTCCCCCGCCATGCCACGGGAAGCCAGGGTGTCTCAGGGAAGCCTGGGGCTGGGCTGGCAATGCCAGTCCCAGCAACGTACCCCCTCCCAGTGCTGCCCTGGAGGAGCGACATGGAGCTGGAGCAGAGAGAGCCTGGAGCAGGGGCCTGGTACAAGGCCCGAACCAAAGTCAGCAAAAGTGATGCTCCGAGCAAAGTCCGGCCCTGTGAGACACTGAGCCAGAAAGGGTTAAGCAACTTGCAGGCAAAATGACCCCAATTCTGCCTTTAAAGCCACACTAGAAAAGGAGCCGGGAGCTGTGTTTCTGGCTTCTGGGTGAGCAGCATGGTATCGGAGCAGCTGATTTGTTGCTGGCTTGGTGAATCTAAGTATCAGAACTAACCAGCAGTTTGGGGGATTGTCGGCCCCACTCTGCAGTTTGCCCGGATGGAGCAATCTCAGTGTGGCCCCCCAGGCACCAGTCGCACCCTGACACAAAGCAGAGGCTTCCTGCAAGTTCACCGTCCGGTGCACGAACTCGGCCCCGGTATTGCCGGCATTGCTAAAATCCAGCGACTGTGTAACCACATCCCAGCGCGAGATTCCTCTGCCTAGAGCACAATAAGATGGTTTGACGTGTGGGGAATGTTTTGTCTGAAGCATCAGGAGTAAAGTACAAAGCCAGGTGGTGAATAAGGGAAGTTTAGTTTGAAGCAGCAGGAGAAAGGCACAAGGGGGGTAAGAAGCATGTTGTGAAACACACAAGTAGGTTGTTTGTCCCGGATGGTTTGTCTCAATCTGTAACTGTCGGGGTCCATTGTCAGAGGCAGACGTGTGGCCGTGTCTCTGAGGCATCTCTGGGTGCTGGCACCGGGCTGCATTGGCGATAAACCCGGCCGAGCGCCTTCGCCACTGATCGAACTCTGTGGGCTGTCTGGGCACTTCAATGGAGGGCTGCCGGGCCGGCGACCCACCCAGAGCCGGGACAGCACACGGAGCCGACGAACGCCAACCCCATGTCCCCACACCAGACCGCTGGAACTCGGGGTGCCTCAGGGAAGCCTGGGGCTGGGCTGGCAATGCCAGTCACAGCACATGGCCCCTCACAGCCCTGCCCATGCAGGGAGCTTGGGGCAGTGGGAGGGTCCCATGAACTAGCAGCTGCGCCCCCTAGAGGCCAGGGGAGAGCATGGCTGCCTGCCCCCAGCGGAAGCTCAAGCAATAGGGGACTGAGGGCATAGCAGCTCAGATGCTGCGTGCTGGGACCAGCGAGGGTCCCCTCCCGACTCCCCAGCGCATCACTGCAGCACAAGGAGTTTGCTCCGTGGGTCTGTTTCTATCCCCGAGGGTTTATTCCCTGTCCAAGCACTGGGCACAGGGGTGAGCCCGGCCCCATGCTCTGCGGGAGCAGGCGAGGGTCACGTCTCATCACAGCCTTGCTGATGGCCGCCGGCCATTGCCAAAGCCGGCAGCAGCTCCGGTGCAGCGCCAGGCCTGGAACGAGCATTTGTGTGTGCGAGGGGGGGGAGGGGGATCTCAGCAGGTGGGGGCCAGGGGAGAGCTCACCCTGGCAGGTGTTCTCACTCGCGTTTGTGAATTTGGCTTTCCCAGAGCTGGACTCATAGCCATCGCTGCAGAAGCAGTAGTAACTCCCGGCCACGTTGGTGCAGTGTGTATTGCGTCCGCAGTCTGGCGGGCTCGGCCCCAGACACTCGTTAATATCTGTAATGCAAGAGGGGACGCTCTGTACAGTCCTGGAAAGGAGATGTTCCCAGTTCACCCCACCTCCCACCCCCACACACTGAGCTGGGTGACGGGACCCAGGTGACTGGGGCCCTGACCAGTTAGTGATTAAGGGCCTGATCCTCAGTTACCCATTTCTGCTGCTGGAATGTCGGAAACAGCCCCCCCGAGCCTCCTGTCCCAGGTACGGGGGGTTTGGCCCCCAAAACACCCAGATCCCCCATGTGAGGGGAGGGGAGGAGACATCCCCCGGGGCTCCAGGCTCCCTGTGTGTTGGGGGGGATGACAGGCTGCCTCTCCTCTGCCCCCTCCCTTCTTGTATCCCTGCGGGCTGGGGGGATGGGGAAGTATAGCCAGGGCTGCCCCATTCTGCTCCCGTGGGGCCCCTCTGCCCCAGGACACCCAGGGGCTGACTAGGGCCCAGGCTGGGGTTCAGACGGGTCAGTGTGATGGGCCCCCCCACCCTGTGCCCAATCCACAGAGCCCAACGCTCCTGGCTCCTGCTGCAGCCGCTCCTGCTGTTCACACTGGAGGCCCCGGTTCGATCCCCAGGAGGGCGGCCCTCACCCGTGCTGCTGCCCCCCTCATTCCCCAGCTGGGCTGAGCCCCCCCAACAGGCCCTGCAGTCAGTGGAGTTGGCTGCTCCAGCACTTAATGCCCTGCTCTGTCCCAGCCCCCCCCCAGGACAGCGTGGGAGCCCCGTTACCGTCACAGATCTCCGTTGGGTCGGTGAAGAAGAAGCGATTCGCCAGTGACTGGTATCCATCCAGGCAGGTGCAGTGGGTGTTGTTCACACACGTGGCGTTTGCTGGGCATAGCACATGGCTGTTGCAGTCCTCAGTGGTACCTGCAGGGGTGGGAACAGCTGGGCAGGGTCAGCCAGTGCAGAGCAGCTCCCTCCCCCGCCACACACACACAGTGGGATCGACTCCTTTCACACGCCCCATTCGCTGATTTTCGTCCCTGGGCGCCTGGCAAACAGCTCCGACGCCATCCACCGCCTGGCAACAAACTGCCCTCGGCTGCACAGGGGCCTTGGCTCCCCAGGGAGACCCCGGCACAGACAGGCAGAGCGGCCGGAGCCGGGCGTCGCTTCAAGTGAAACGTTTTCCATCTCACCCGATTTTTCTCCTCTTTGTTGCTGTCGTCGTTAGTCTCGTTAGTGTCAATTTCAAACCGAAACCTCGCTTCCAACCGGAAATCGGGAATTGTTCATTTTGAAAATTATTTCATCCGCCCCCCCGGTGCAATCTTTTCCCGAGTAAACCCAAACATTCCTCTGAACCGAATCAGCATTTTCTGGCAAAAAATGGTTCCTTGGGAAGTTCCTGCCCGGCTCTGCTCCGGATTGACTGAGAGCGGAGTCGGGCGCGAGGCTAGTTTGGATCCTGAGCTGCCTCCCATGACCCAGATTGTGACCTGCCTACGGGGGCTCCTGGATCCTTTAGCTGCCCGGTGTCTGGGGCTCCGCTGGGATCCGTCCCTCGGGCCAGCGTGAGGGGAAGGATCCCAGCGCAGCTTAGCCGGCTGCAGGGCTTGGGATGGGAGCAGACGGAGCAGGGTGGGAGCAGCACTGGGGGATTCGCAGCAGAGCTGGGCTCAGAGTCCGGATCCCAAACGCCCCCAGCTGGGCACGTGGGTCCCAGGTCTCAGTTCAGCCTGATTTTCGGGGGGAGGCACCTACAAATACCACTTCTAACGTCTGAGCCATCAGGGGTTTGATTCGGGCTGGTCAATAACACGGCCCTTGGCTACAAAGGGGATCTGCCCCTCACTCCAGCCCCCAGTGTAGAGCCCTGGCCCCAGTGTCTATTCTCTGCTGGCCACGGGGCTGGGAAGGGAAGGGGAGGGCTACACAGGGGCCTTCTCCTCTCCCCTGCACGCACCCACTGCGCTCTATAAACCCACCCCAAGACGCCCACGCCAAGGGGCTGCTCCCGGCTCGCCAGACCCCTGACTCTGCTCTCCTCCCACAAGGGAAAGGGACCGGAGGGGGCGGAGGCCGGAGACCCCGGGCAGCCGGGAGTGCTGGGGAAGGTTAGCCAGGAGGAATCAGCCTTACCTTGTACGCCGTTATTCTGGGCCACGGTGCCCCCCAGGCACAGGGCGATGCAGAGCCCTGGAAGGCAGAGACAGGGTAAGGCACTGTGGACAGATGGTAACCGCCACTCAGCTGCACACACCCCCTGCCGCCCCCGTCCTGCCAATCCTGGGCCAATGGGCCAGTCAGTGCCCTGCCGATGGTGGAATTAAAAATGCAGAAACCTGGTGCTCTGGGAAATCAGCCCCAGCTGGGATCCCTGGTAATATTTTTACCTGATTCCCATTGGAACTGGACTTTTGGCCAGGGCAACTGGGTCTTTTATTGTGTGTATTAGCAACAAAGACCAGGAACCCACCATTGTCAGGGCTGGATTTATACTTAGGGCGCCCCTAGGTGCAGGGGTTCAGTGGTCCTCCCACCCCCGGCTTGGAGCTCCGGGGGCCCCGCCATATGGAGATGGCCAGAAGCTGCAGGGTGCCCCTCCTGCCCAGAAGCTCTTAACCGCCACGGGTGGCGGGGGAACCCCCCCACTTTTAACTGTTAGGTGCCCTGCTGCTCAGCACCCCTCCACCCATTGCCTAGAGCTGCCCCATGAACTCCCCCAGAGACCCACTCTCCCAAGCCCTGCCTCCGGCTGCACTCACTGGCCCCTCTGGGAGGTGACGCTGTCTGCTGGGCGGAGGGAGGAGCGCTCCAGCAGCCCCGAGGACGTCCCGCCCCCAAGGTCAGTCTGGGGGGTGGAATCAGAGCCACCCCCCACCTCCGGGGCGCTGGAGGAACAGAGGCTGGCGCTGAGAAATGATCCCGGGACAAACGGGTGATTCTCCCCGTGACGCAATGGAAGGGGCCCGACTCCCGCAGCTGCGGCCCCAGACAAAGTGCAGACAGTCCCCGTCTCTGCCCTCCTCCACGCCGGACAGACGTGCAATCGCCCTGGGGCACTGGATCAGAGCCACCGCAGAGCCCGGCTGCTGGCGGGATGGAGGGATCCGAGCTGGCATCAGCCTGGGCACCAGAGCCGGCTCTAGGATTTTTGCCGCCCAAAGCAAAAACAATTTTGGCCGCCCCCCGCTCATTTAATTACCCCACCCCCAGCCCCGCCTCAACTCCGCCCCTTCCCCAAATCCCGAGCCCTGCCTCCTCCCCCCAGGCTCTCAAGCCTAGGAGGGAGGGAGGGAGGGGCAGAAGCGGCGCGGCGCCGCAGCCACTTGGAGTCTCCCCCTCCCTCCCAGGTTTGAGAGCCTGGTACGCGGCGTGCGAATCGGCCGCTCGGGATCTCCCCCTCCCTCCCAGGTTTGAGAGCCTGGGAGGGAGGGGGAGATCCCGAGCCGCTGCGGCGCGCGAAACAGCTGATTCGTGTGCCGTGGCAGCAGCAGCGGAGGTGAGCTAGGGCGGCCGGGGCACATTTTTAGGGGAGGCATTCTGGCGCCGGCCATGCCGCCCCTAAAAATGTGCGGCGCCAAGCACCAGCTTGTTTTGCTGGTGCCTAGAGCCGGCCCTGCTGGGCACAAACTCTGGGGCAGGAGCACATCCCAAGGGGGGAGGGCTGGGCTGACGGGGGTGGGGGGCTGCTCTGGGAATGGACTGTGGAAAAATGACTCTCTCTCTCTCTCTCACACACACACACACACACACACACACACACACACACA